TTAATATTGTCTGATCTGGTACTAATCATGATAACAAATGCCATTTATCTGTAACCCAGTCTATAATTCTAGTTCTTTTCTTCGACATTGTTTCGTTTGTGTTGCAGAATTTCTGAAATGTATTACAGGGTTATATTCTAAATAAGGGATTGGTTTAGCCCTTTACTGAGCATCTACTGTGGATAGGCTGAGCACTCACAATTTTTAATGCAGAAGGAGAGCCACCGTGAGGGAAGACCTAGTCATTCAGTGTGCTAATTCTAAATTGGATTTAGTGTCTTAGTTTTCAACTCTTGGAAGATAAGCTGTGCCAATCAGGTAGCTGTGTGATTTGGACCAGATTACTCAATGAATTACTTTAATAAGTGGAATAAATAGCACCAGTCCAGGGTTGTAAAAAATGAGTTTATGCAAGTAAAGGAGGCACAGTGTGGGAATTACGGCCCCAGGCAACATGAAGTGGTTTGAAAGCAACTCCAAGATAGAGAATGTGTCAGAATCAATAGACCAAATGAGCTGACCTGTATGGCAGCCACCAGCCACATGTGACTTTTGAGCATTTGAAATATGGCTATTCTGAATTGAGATGTTGTCAGTGTCAAATACCCACTGGATTATTTTGAGGACTAGTATTATAAAAAAGAATGAAAAATATCTCAACATATTTTATATGAATTACATGTTAAAAGATAATTTTGATGTATATTTCATGAGATAAAATATCCTTAAAATTCATTTTACCTTTTTTTTTAGTTTCTAAATATGGCTACTAGAAAAATTCAAATCACATATGTGATTCACCACATATTTCTACTGGACAGCATTGGGCTTGACACTGAGGAAGGAAGAAAGTTTCTCTCTGCCATTTACGAAGTGAAAACTTTGCTCTCAACTGCAAAACCTCCTACCTGGAGCCAGGTATCTCTTAGAGATTCCTCTGTCCCTCACCTTCATCCTCACCCCCCAACTTAAATCTAGGCTAAGTACATGCTAGTGTGATCTAAGATGAAAGTCTCAACAGACTGCTTACATCTTTTGAGGGTTTCTCCTGGCCTTTTGGAATGAACACTGTGCTCCTTAGCAAGGCAGTGTAACCTGGCTTTGCCTTCCTTCCTTCAGTTTCACCTGCTACCTGTTTCTCTCCAGTTTCTTGTGTGTGTTGCATTTTCGACATAGTCTATATGTTTGCACTTGCTCTTCCTTTTCCTGGAAAGGTCCTCTGCTACTTGTGCACACATATATCCAAGGATTCTACACTCTTCCACTGTTCTTTACTGGGTTGTCTTCTAAGACCTACTTTATCTGTCATGTCCTCTGAGATGCTGCCCTTGACCTTTCATCCTCTGAGTATGTATCCTCCTCTTTGTGCCCCTAACCCCCTACCTTTCCCACTGTGAGGGGCACTCACACTTCTGATGTCTTGCTGGTTTCCCTGACTGTTTCCCTTATATGACTATGAGTTCCTTAAAGGCAGGACCCCTGCCCTTTGTCTCTAATGCCAGGACCAACCCTAACGCCTGGTACACAGAAAACTCTCAAAACCTATTTGCTAATCGAATTGAGAAGCTGGTCAGGGGACTAACCAGGAATCATCAAGTCATGGATTGCATGTCAGTTAGAACTCTTGTGGATGAAAGTGACAGACACTTCTACTCTGTCTTTGTTGGCTTCCTTGATTGAAAAGTCTATGTATTGTTGAAGCTTCAGGTATTGCTGGATTCAGTGGTTCAGTAGGTGTCACCAAAACATTGTTTTTATTTATCTCTCAACTTTCCCACTGTACTGGCTCCATTCAAAGAGATTCTTTCCTCATGGTAACCAGATGGCTGAGGCCTGGCTGGTGTGACTCAGTGGATTGAGTGCTGGCCTGAGAACTATAGGGTCATCGGTTCCATTCCCAGTCAGAGCACATGTCTGGGTTGCAGACCAGGTCCCCAGGAAAAAGGCACACAAGAGGCAACCAAACATTGTTATCTTCCTTTCTTTCTCCCTTCCCCTCTCTCTAAAAACAAATAAACACAATCTTTGTGGGCCCCAGTTGCCTAATGGATAAGGCACTGGCCTCCTAAAAACAAATAAACACAATCTAAAAAAAAAAAAAAAAAAAAAAAAAAAAAAGATGGCTGAGAAGCATATCCTTGCATGTTCCAGTTAAAAATAAGTCATCTACTTTGAGAGTTCAAACAGAGAGTAGAATTTACTCCTGTTAATCCTGACTGGCCTGTTCGGAGTCTTAGGTCCAATTAATCAACTAATCATTGTTGCCTGTAGATAAGATGAATTGATTGCCTCAGGTGTGATCATGTGCTGAAGCTATGGAATTGCAATTGAGGTCTCAGTAAATTCGACCTCACCCAAGCAAGGGGCTAAAAGCAGAAGTTCCTTCAAAGTAACATTAGGGAACTGTTTGTACCACAAAAGCAATAACATGGTCACTGTTGTGAAAGAAGAGCCTTGGGACAAGTTTGTTCTGATGCTGCTTCTTTTACAAAAGTGGACGGTTTAGGAACCATTTGATCTTCAGAGAAATTTATATTCTCACAACTGTATTGATTTTGTTTTTCCTTTGTTTTATCATTTCCAGGTACTCTGTAAAATGGGGTTTATCCTTGTGATATTTTTAGGTATTATAACCTATGTATATTAATTAGAGAGATGTAAGTCAACTAGAGAGATAGTTCAGAGACACAAAATCTGTTTGTTAAGGCCCTGGCATCTTTCCTAATCTGTAAACTTACTAAAAGTGAAATTTACTAAACTCCACATCTCCTTGTGATGAAATGGGGCACACTGGGTGGAGATATTTGGTGTACTTTGGAAGAACAAATTTTTAATATCAGGGACCCTCAGTTTGAGGGCATCTCATAGTAGCTCTTTCTGTACAAATTCATTCATGTGAAACTTAATTGAGTTCCTACTGTTCCTACAGGCACTATTGTAGATACAGAGAGAGAGAGAGAGAAACTGTAAACAAAACAGACTTCAGGGAGCTTACATTATAGAGGGGGAGATAGTCAACAAACACTAAATAAATAACATACTTTCAAATTAGGATAAATGCTATGAAAAAATTGAAAAATATGAATGAGAGGGACTGAGAGTAGCTTAGTTTAGCAAGGCTGGCTGGGGATATCTTTTCTGAAAAGGGACATCAGAGCTGATGCCTGACTGATGAGAAAGTGTCATCCATGCAGGCAGGACTTTCCCAAACAAGAGGAGGGCTCAGCTGTCTCAGCTGCTCCTCGAGGTGGGGTCCCAGACCAGCAGCAGCACTACCAGCTGGGAGGGCGATAGAAAAGGAGACTCCCAGATTCCATCCCAGACCTCCTGAGTCAGAATCTACATTTAACAGAACCTCTCAGGTGGTTTGTGGGCAGAGTAAACCCTGAGAAGTACTGGACTCTCGACCCTTTCTGCACCCCAGTGGAAAGGTGTACATTCTGGAATGAGGCAGAAAGCAGAGAATGGTGCTCTCAGCAGTCATTAGAAAATGACAAAGTAACATTTGCTGCTGCCTCTGTAACAGACCAGCCAGATGGATGCTTAAGACCACAGTATTATCATAATGTGGGGTCCAGGCCATTTCCTAGGAGAGTTCTCTTATTTTATAGGAGACTGAGGTTCTTCCAGGAGCTCTTTTGTGGCAGAGTTGAGGATATAGGAGTCTAGGAGTCCTCTCTATCTGTGCCACCTTATAAATATTGACAAGGACAGGTTACAGTGAGTGAGGCTGAGCAGCACCATGAGGTGGTTGGGAAAATTTCTCATGAAGCACTGGAAATCCTTGGTATTGGTTTCTCATTCTGTGAAGATAAACTAATAAAATCTCTGTGGGAACCAGGTCCACTTACAGTGAAGTAAATTTTAGCTCAAGGCTAGTATCGTCTGTGAGGTTTAGAGCTACTTAAAAATGGAAGTGTCTGGCATACACACTGAGTGTTCACAATATCCCCCCTCAAGTTTTCAGTCACTGGTAGGGTGCTTGCCTGGATCAAGGTTCCTGAAATGGCAGTCATTTGCATCTTTGCATTTTTGGGGCCAAACCCTACACCACGATTTTTTAAAAACTGACATAAAAATACATGTATATGCACATGTAAAGTACACTAATCTTAGGTGTACAGCTGGATGAATTTTCACGTCTATATTTTTGTTATCCATCATTCACATCAAAATACAGAATACTACTAGCACCTTACCCTGTCAATAACCCTTCTCGCCCCTAAACACTTCAATACTATTGAAATACATACTTCAATAGTTATCAGTTTGCAAGTCTTTGACCTGCATAAGTGTTTCCACTTTCCCATGATATTTGTCTTTAAGTGGACTCATTTTTAAAGATAACTTTCTATTTGATGAATTAGTTTCTTCCTGTACCAACAGACCACATTTTGTTTCTCAAATGCCACCAGATTTCTGAGGTCCTTTGCAACTCGAAGACTGTATGATTTTGTGGTAATTGAGTAGCCTGAAGTTCTTGGAATACATTGTCACATTCCTGATACGGTTATAGATCCATCCATCCATCCATCTACGTAAAACACTTGTTGAATACCCAGCAATGGCTCTACTAGGCACTGGACACAGAGCACACTAAACCCCACCTTCTGATGTTAAGTGGAGGGAAACAGAAGAGTAAATCATTTAGGTATGTGCGGAGAGTGAAGGTAAGTACCAGCACACAGAGGAACAGCTGTTTCCGGAGGGCGGGGACGAGAGGGTGGATGAGCATTTTCAAGGGTAGCCCCAGCCAACCACCCCCATTTCGATCACTTTACTATCACTTTGCAGCCGCACAGCAGCGGAGAGTAACCTCAGCTTTCCTTAGCAACCTGTGCGCACCGCCCAGGTGCCTCTCTATTGGTCTCATGGAGCTTGACGGGCAGCTCTGCTGTGCAATCCCAGCTCTAAACCCCTGGCACCGCACTTACTCACGGGAGGGCTCAACGGTGTTACAACCCTCCCCTGGTAGCCCGCCCATCCCTGTGCGACTGGCGGCGCATGCGCGGGTGTGTGCTGGGGCAGCGCGGAGCCTGAGCGGCAGCTGCGGGCTAGCTCCAGAGCTCTGTGGAGATCGCGGTTTTTGCTCCTTGCCTCCGCCGCCGCAGTCTCAAGCCGTCGCCGCAAGAGGAGCGGCCGCCTATTGTCTTTCTCTGCGGCGAAGGTGCGGAGCTGCTCCGAATCGGCCCGTGGGGGATCCCCGGGCGCCGCACGGTGAGAGCGCAACTTAGTTGGCGGAGTTGGGGGAAGTTTTGTGATTTGAGGAGGGGTCGGGCGGGGAGCGCCGGCCCCTCCCCTGCGACCGCTGCTCCGGGCGGGGGAGGGGAAAGGGGACCTCGGGGGCGGGGAGGGGGCGCTGGAGCTGGCGAGCTCGGATGAATGGGCGGTGGCGGAGCGCCTCCGCCCCACCCCCCGGCTCTGCGGCCCCCTCCTCCCGCCGCGTCCCACCTCCAGCATTGTCTGCTTCGTGGCCACCACGCTTGGTGCGGGGCCAGCAGCCTAACTTCGGGGGCGTTCCCCACATGCTTCCAGACCTGGACCCCTAGCCCTACGTTTCCACCGGCGCTCCGCAGAGGTCGGGGAGCGTCGGCTGCTCCGTAGGTCCCTCTCGTTCAACTCAGTCCGCTTACAAGTGCTAAGGACGCGAGGGAGCAGCTCTCTGGGGTGGACGGTAAACACGCCCTGCCGCGCCCGCCTTCGGGGGCCCTTTCGGAGCCCGTTCCGGGCGGCGCAGCAGGGGATCCTTGCGGGTCTAAGACAGGCGGCCGAGGGGATACCCGTGCATCGGGCTCCGCTGTATACCGACTTAAACGGCAGCCTTATTTTGAGACCAACCAAAACTTTTATTTTTTATCAGTATGGCTTATGGACACTTTGTCAGAGTCAGCGAGTATGTGAAGAGCTTAGAAACAATGTGGGGAAAAACATCGAAATGTTTTTTCATCAGAAGAAACAATATATTTTTAAAATTCTTTGATTTTTGGAAATAGTTCTTGGAGCAAAATGGTTCCATCACATTTACCTTATTGTGAGCTTAGGATTCACAGCGCAAGTTGGATTGTATTTCATTCTCAGCTTTTGCATTCAGTGAAATTATTTTGAGAGCTTATTGCCCCAGGCACATAAAACTAAAAGAAAAAGCAATGTGCCCTTAAAAAAAAATTCCCCGTCTCTTTATTTTCAGAAGAAGCAACTTACTCTGTTTTTCTAAAGCATTGGGCTGCCCAGATCAGGACAAATACTGCTGTTTTTGAAAGATTTTCTTTTCAAGTTTGTAAAGAAGTTAGGATCAGCTGAGATAAATCACTGTTAACAGTTCTTGTAGTCCTTCCTGGTCTCTCTGGGATTTGCAGACTGCATTAAGTACAGGCCTTGTTGTTAAGTTTTGAGTGCATGATTCTGCTGAATTTGGTTTATGTGGCTTATCATGTGAGAATAATTATTTTTAAATACTCCACCTGGAACTGGCTTATATGTTGATCAAATTGGTAGTGGAACAAGATGACCAGGATTGTTAGTATCAGTTGTTACATCCCTCTGCCATCTCCTAATTTAAAAAGAAATTTGAGAGAGCATGTGTATGTGTTGGTTTGCTTTGATTTATTTCTCATGTTAAATGAGTAATGTAGAGAAGTGTTCTGGGTGTTTCTGGTTGGTTGGCCTCATTTTGCTTTTAAAAAGCCAGCTTTCTTCACCTGACAAAGCCAAAGGAAAATTATGTCCTTATGTCATAAGCATTGTACCTTTTTCTTTAATTCTTCTATCAAGTATAATGCATATATCAACAAATAATAAGCATTGTACTTTTGAACTGGAACAACAAGGTCATTTGTAGGAGTCACAATCCTGGCTTTTAAGGCTTTCCTGTTTGGTTGTGTGCACCTTGTGTAGGGGCATTGTGGGGCATGAGATTGACAGGGTTAGAAGGAGCTGTCAGGGGAGGACAAAATGTAAACGGGCACTATTACAACATAATGTGACAAATAGGCCAGTTGCTTTCCTTCTCTCAACTGTGATAGAATGCTGTACATACTTTTGTTTTAGGGTTTCCCACTTCATTTATTTGCCTAACTAATGGTAACTATATACGTAGTAGAAGTGAACTCCTCCTTCTAGTCTGATTCCATGAGTCTTGTGATGGGTCTTACTGTTTAACTTTGTACCCTCTTTGCCAGGAAGGAATCTTAACGCAGTGCAGGTGCTTACTATGTGTTTGGATTGGGTGAAGTGCTTTGGCCTCATTAGTGGTAGTGCACCCAGAACCACTAACTCTGGGGACTTGTCCAGAGTGACAGTTTGCTTGCAGATCTCTGATGGAATTTACTTAAAAGGTTTCTAACTTTTCTTTTTACTCTGTTAATTCTTGAAGAGCTAGGAGGTTTATATAGTGCACTATGGATTTCAAAAAGTGGTTCTGATGTAGAAATTTTGTCCCCATCTTTTGATGAATTGATTAAGACTGTTGGACAACTTTATTCGCACTCTGTGTATTCCTCACAGTTTAGAAAAACAGACCTTTGAAGATAGGTAAATTTGAGTTCAAATCCCCATACTTCCTCCACTGACTAGTGTAGCCTTTAGCAGGTCATTTAACTTCTCAGAGCTTGGCTTTTCTGTCATGGAAGGTGTAGTAGCTACTTTACTGTGATTTTAGGAATAAATGGAATTTGCGTGCCTAACATTAAGTAGGTGTCTGTTACCTGGTCGCTGTAATAATTTTGATAATAATTTCAATACATTTTATATGACCTAAAATGCATTTTTGAAAGCCTGATGCTTTGAGTGTAGGAGTTCAGCTATTTCACAAATAAGGAATCCTGAGAATTGAGTCTTAATTAAATGCAGTTTTTTTAAGGTGTTACTTGGACTCAGTGTTAATAGATACAACTTCTGCTTTCTCAGTCATTTGTTAGTCTTTGAGTGAGACTTGCAGAGTGGTTTGGTTGGGTAGAACTCTGTGCATTTATAGTGTTTAGGAAATGGAATGATTTCAACATTTGTAATAGGATATCTCAGGTATTTAGACAGTGCTAGCTCTCCTTTCTTATTTAACCTTAGTCTTGAAAAGTAATACATATGGGTTATGACTGCATTTCTCAAACTTTCTTAAGATAGAACTGGAGTGAGGGGTAATATAGTATTGTTAGTACAGTTCAGAGATATGAACAAATCACCCACTTCCCCTTGAAGGTAACATTTGTTGAAGGTGCCACCTTTTACGGAAGGAAGCAGTGATTTGAATGAGTCACACCAGCTCAGTTTAAAATATTCAGAAAACCAAATGAAAGCTATACATTCTGGAAATACTAACCTGCAGTGGACATTTTTGTATATTGAATCTCATATTTTCATTAGTTTTCTTTCTTTTTTCTTTTAAGATTCTATTTATTTATTTATTTTTAGAGAGAGGGGAAGGGAAGGAGAAAGAGAGGGAGAGAAGCATCAGTATGTGGTTGCCTCTCACACACCCCCACCAGGGACCTGGCCCACAACCTAGGCATGTGCTCTGATTGGGAGTTGAACCAGCGACCCTTTGGTTCACAGCCTGTACTCTTTCCACTGAGCTACATCAACCAGGGGCCATTAGTTTTTTTATAAAATAAGGATTTTGTGTTTTACTTTGTATCTTATAAATAAGGGTTTTTCTAAACATAAGGTTATCCATTAGTTTTATGAAATAAGGATTTTAACTAGGAAGGATTATAATAAGCTTTTAAAAATTATATTTGATCACACTCACAGATTGAGGGGTAAAACATTCTTGATTAAGCCAGATGAACAGACTTGGACTTTTTATAATCTACTTTTTGAAAGTTAACATTTATGTGCACTTGAGCAGACTCGGTTGTTACTGGTCGGGAGAGGCATCCATTCGGAGGCAGCACTCCTTAGTCACTCGCTGTCAGGCTGTCTCAACGCTGTGAATGAAGAGAGACGAGGGAGCTGTTAGTGGAAGAAAGTTTGTTTCATTCCTGTGTCCGCTCATTTATGGTCTTGTAGTCCAGATCGATTGGGACGTAATAAGTAGAAGATGATGGGGAAGGTGGATGTCAGTGTGTTCATGTGAAGTGGGTATGGGGCGGTGGTGAAGGAAAGGGTGTGAGGGATTCACGATTTATTTCACTCTGTACACTCTTCTATTAGAAATCAGCCCATTTCAGTTTTGACTTCGGATGGCACCATGTGCCCCTATTTGTCAGTAACCTCTGCCCCCCCAATGGCCAGTTATTCCCGAACAGTTAGGAATTAAAGAAAGTATGTCACACTGTAGTTAATTTGTCTTTTAGACAACTCAAGATGTCATGTTAGGGAAGAACACCTAGAGGTTTTGTAAAGAATTCCACAGGACCCAGGTGATTCATGATGGTGATGGCTACTAAAAGCACGTGATGCAGAACCACGTACCTGACTTCAGATCCAAACTTTATTGGCCCTGTGTCCTTGAACAAGGCACTTCATCTGCCTTAGACTTACTATCCTTAGTTATAAAATAAAGTGAATTTAATATTAATCTTGTCTGCTACGTGCTGCCGTTGCGAAAAACACATGGGATAAATCACTATATAAATACTATGTTGTTTTGTAATTTTATTGGTTGGACACTGGTTTGGATAACATTCAAGTCCTAGTCTAAAAGGGAAAAACATCCAGCTAACTTTATTGGGCTTTCTTTATAAAGTTAAAATATTATACAGTTTTTATTGCCATCCTTCTTGCTTGGATAAATTGATACTTTTTACTTTTGGCGCTTCTCATATTTCCTTTGACAACATATTTTGTCATGAAATGTTTTTTAGACACTGTAAGGAAGTTTTAGTTCACAGCGCTTACCGATAGACCCAAGTCACTGTGAAATCTCAGGAACTGACATTGTCGCCAGGGCTTGAAGTCAGGTGGAACCACAATAAACAGTGAGTGAAGCGTGTCAGATTATTTCAGAGGAGTATGAAAAAAGGTAGTGTAGTTGTGATTCTTTTAAAATTTCAGTTTCCTGGTTGTTCATTGCTAGCATATAGAAATAAGATTGAGTTTTGGATGCCAACATTGTATCTTACAGCCTTGCTAAACTCACTTTTACAGCAGTTCTAAAAGCCTTTTCATAGCTTCTTTGGGATTTTCTACATAGATAATAATAATGTCTTTGACAAATTCAGGCAGTTTGATTTCTTCCTTTGCAGTCTGTATGCCTTTTCTTTCTTTCTTTTTTTTCCCTT